CTGGACTGAAGAACAAGGCCCCGCTATTCTAAGGGCGTACAATGCCAGAGTTTCAAACTGGCTTCGTCCCACTTTTAAGCGTGCCCGAGCCAACGGGGTAAGGCCTCAATGGTGTTCGGATGAGGTATGGGAAAACCTCGTCCGCCACTAGTCTTCGGATCCGACTTTCTTGGCTAGAAGCGAAGCCGGAAAGAAAAATCGGATGTCCGAGAAGGCATTGACGACACAATGGCACAAAGGCCTCAAATCTCAGAGTAAACATAAAGAGGCTCTTGTAAGTCTTATTCAAATAAACCTTACACAATTTTAACCCTTTATTTTTTTACATTTATTTAAAACTTTTTCGAACCTTGTAGGCGGGGCCTCAAAAGAAGAGAGTTTCTATCCTCAAGGTCATCAAACATTGTTGGACTCCGCACGGTGATGAGTCCGAAGCCAATCTGCCACCCCGCCTTGCTGAAATCGAAGTACGCAACATCAATTTTATTATTTAAAATCGAAGTAAATATCATTTCAATAATTTTTGTACATGCTTGTAGACAAAGTATAACGCAAATGTTGAGAAGAAGCGGGCGGAACTAGGCTTGACGCAAGAAGATGACATCGATTCTGATGTGGAAGATGATGCGGTCCTTGAGGCAGCTGGGGTGTACAAGGGTAGGCTTCCGTGTCTCGGGGCTGAGGGGCAACGTATTTTGTACGATCGCGGCGGCAGCGGAGCTTCATCATCTTCTCGATCTAGGCGGGGAGAGGATCCACGCATCGCCCAATTGCAACGAGAATTGGAAGAGGAGCAGCGGGCATTCGAACAACAACAGAAGAATGATGAAGAAACAAAGACCCGGCTGGAAGCAATGGAACGGATCCTTGCCGGATATCAGCCTCTGCCTCAACCTCTTTCTCGCCCGTACATGTTGCACGTTGAGCAGACTCATCAGGTTCCGCACATGGGTCCTATGGGTTATCACTCTAACTCCGGATATGGTGCCATGCCTCCAATGGGGTCGACATTCGGATCTCTGTCGTCTGATATTCTCAATCAGTTTCAGTCATCCGGTGGAGGCAGCCGAGCAAGCAACCGAGGAGGCAACCGAGCAGGCAACCGAGGAGGCAGCCGAGGCAGCCGAGGAGGTACCCGACCCTTAGACACTGTGGATGTTGAAGAGGATCATCATCGTGATGATGATGATAATGATGATGCATATGATTATGATGATTCTAATTTTTATCATAATGGAGTTCGACGTCCGGGCATGTAATATTGTTTAACATTGTATGGATTTTGTTTTTATAATTCAGTCTGTAATAACATTTTTATGTTTAACATTGTATGGATGTTGTTTTTATTCTAATTGCTTTAAAGTAAAATTAAAATATTTTTTTATTTTTTTTTTAAATCGATTTTTAAAAAAAAACAAAAACAATAGTCACAGACTAAATCCGTGACTATTTTTTTAATCCGGAACTCTTTTCTAAATTCATTTTTTTTTCAAAACATAGTCACGGATACATGTCCGTGACTACTATAAAAAATAAAAAAATTTAAATTAAACTTAGTCACGGACATCATGTCCGTGACTAACATAAAAAAAATGTAAATTAAAAGTAGTCACGGATCTTTTACACTACGGTCCGTGACTGAGTCCGTGACTACGGGCGATTTTTTTGTTCAAGTTCAATGCCCACGTTCACAAAGATCAATTTCTAGCAGCATAGCTTCATAATAATTATGCAAAGATTTTGCATATTACTTCTGATTGAGCTCACATCACTTACAATTTCTATTCAGACGTTATTTACAATATATTAAATATTTACTTGAATTTCATAAACATTCTCGAGCTCACACCGAACTTGTGTAGTGCTTGATTTGATCGTATCTATTTTATTTCATTTCATTCTATTTTAAGCGTTTTATAATTCATTGGAAAGATCTTATCGAGTTTCAAGGCTCGTATTCAGATTTTATTTGCAAAAGGGATAAAAGTCAGATAGGGTCTCGAACTTACAAAAAATGTCAAATAAGGTCATATATAGGATGCTCTGTACGTCTGACGCCATTTGGGGTGGTTCCCGGTTAAATTTTTCGATGAATTTTTTTGAGCATCTTATTCATTAACTCTTGTTTATTCATATCAAATTCGAACTAAAAATTCAATCTAGAAGGCATTCAAATGAATTCTTGAAAATAACTGCGCAGTTAAAAGCGCAGTTATCTTCAAGAATTCATTTGAATGCCTTCTCGATTGAATTTTTAGTTCAAATTTGGTATGACTGAACTAGACTTGATGAATAAGATTCTAAAAAAAATCATCAAAAAATTCCATCGGGAACCGCCCCAAATGGCGTCGGCCGGACAGATCATCCCATATAAGACTTTATTTGACATTGTTTTGTAAGTTCGAAACCCTGTCTGACCTTTATCCCTTTTCAAAATATTAGAGGATATATATGTATTATATGATCTATAAAATAGATAAGTTTTTAGATCACAATCAAATACAAACTTGCCATACGTGTATCTGAGTCTTTCGTCCTATTTTAATCCAATGGAACATAATTAAAACAGGTTCCATCAGGGTTGAAAATTGTCTTAATCTGTACGCACAGTTGTTAGAGAAGATTTGTTTATTTATTGAAAACCTGCTTTCCACAAACATCATATCGAACTCGTTTGATAACACTATAATTGGCTGATTCTGCTGAAATTTATGAAGTTCTGGTTGAAGTGATTGTATTGGTTGATTCTGCTGATTCATGAAAAAATTATATTTAAAATAGTTATTATTAATAAATTAAATAAAAAATTATACTCCCTCCGTCGCGGTCATTTTTTCCTAAATTGACTTGGCTCGCAAATTTAGATAGTTAGAATAAAGTGTAAATATATGGTTGTAGTTGTGTAAGAAAAAAGTGAATGAATGTGAACCACATGTTTTTTCCTAAAGTGGAAATTGGAAGAATTAATTGGGGCGATCCAAAAAGGAAAGTTGGAAGAAATAACCGGGATAGTCAGAACAGTCAGTCAGAAAAGTAACTCCAACCTTATTTAAACTGTTTATTACAAACTTCAGTGCACGAAATTAAAAATTACGTGTTTGATGAAAAAGATGATCGATAAGTGTGATAAGGGATAATCAAACGGGCTCATAATTATTAAAATCTTATCATAGAGGTTGGCTTACAATTATAATTTCAAATCAATCTCCATCTACCAAACATAACATGCATGCCGAACAAAACAGTGAAACACAACTCATTTTGATTAACAGTCCAGCCTGTTATGCCCCTTAATTCACCATTCTAAATCTAATTGTATCGTATTAATTAAGGACTAAACCATGTTGGTTATCTTATTCAAACGTCGGTGGCAATTGTAGATGTTTTTACGTCGTTTCAGACCGGACCATATTTCTGAAATATATTGCGCTATCTAACTGCGCAATTATCTTCAAAAATTCATTTGACTGCCTTCCCAATTGAAATTTTAGCTGAAATTTGGTATGAATAAACTAGCTTTAATGAAGAAGATACTCAAAAAATTTCATCAAAAAAATCCACCGGAAACCGCCCCAAATGGCGACGGCCAGACAGAGCCTCCTGTAAAAGGGCTTATTTGCACTTTTTATGAAAGTTCAAGGGCTTATTTGATAGTTCTCCCAAAACTAAAAGAAAAATACCGAAAGGTGCGCCTCATCAAGATGACCTCCAAACCACCTTTGCTTTTGGATTTTTCAGATCTGTTTGAATTATTTTTTAAAAATGATTTCGCTAATATCACTTTTCCGATGGACTTTCCGGTGACAAGGGTGGCCGAAAACCAAAAAGAAAGATGGCCTAGCGGTCGTACTATTGAGGCGCACCTTCCGGTATTTTTCTTTTAATTTTTCCGGCACTTTTGAAAATCGGAGTTACTTTTTCTGACGTTTTTAACGACATGACCCTCTTGTGATAACGGAATTCAAACACATGAACCACTTTGATAAAGAATGAAACACATGACCCTATCTGAAAACGCGTTCAACCACAAATACTTTTACCGTACTTTTCTCGAAAATTTAAATACAAGGGGCTGGCTAGGGGTGCTGGTTTGGGATTGTCAAGAGCTTCTCGAATTCTGGGAGTAGGAGATGAAATGTTTACCAAGTTTTAGGCTTTTAGCACACCGGAAATAATTGTGCAGACTCATTAGTGAATGCCGCTCACTAGACAGCCAAAGGGCTATCTATACTTCAGGAAGCAGTCGAAGCACCCATGTGGATTAGGAAGTTTCTCCACGAGGATGCTAATTAATGGTCTTCGCCATATTTTTTCCTTCTATTTTTCCTTTCTAATGTATCTAAAAAGAGATCGGGCCATATTTAAATAGATATGACCAGACTTAAAAAAATCAGATCAAACTTTGATAATCGTAAAAATACACATAAATCAGTTTATTGAGCCCGATCAAATATATTCGGACCACAACAATCAAATGAAATTAGATAATTGAGTTTTTGCCACTTTTAGTCTCTTGACTATTGTGTCAGTGACACTTTTGGTACTCGACTTTTAATTTTTTCATTTTTACTCCTCGACTATAATGCTAGAGACACTTTTGATACCCGACTTTAAAAATTTTCGTATTTAGTCCTTCGACTTTTGTAAAAGTGTCACATTTGGTCCTTCAACTATTGCAAGAGTGACATTTTTAGTCCTTCAATTATTGTGTCAAAATCATAGTAGAAAGACTAAAATTGTCAATTTGATAATACTCAAAGGACAAAATGTGGGAAAATTGAAAGTCGGGGACTAAAAGTCTCTCTCACACAATAATCGAGGACTAAAAATGAAAAAATTAAAAATCGAATACCAAAAGTGTCACTGACACAATAGTCGGGGATCAAAAGTGACAACGACTCTTAGATAATTTTAGTCTCGAAATTCGAAAATTGAAAAGTCAGGCTCACAATGAAAAGCGTGCTAAGACTAGTGCATACGGGCTTTCGGCCCAAAAGAAAAAAAATTACAAAAAATTATTCGCCCAGACAACGGCCCGCCTTCTTCTTCAGCATCCACTCGACCAGTGGACCAGTAATCGGCCGAGAGCCCGAGACTGCATCAGGCCACCTGCGTCCGCCGCACTATCAGACGAGGGACGACTGGAAGAAAACTGAACCGGCCTCCTCCGCAGCTCTGAGACCCATCCACCGGATATCTTTGAACGACTGCCGCCCAGCGTGATTGCGTCCGTTCGCCGCGCCTGTACGCCGCAAAAGTTCCGGTTTCTGACTCACTACTCAGCCAGGTAAATCTAGATTAAAAATTAATTCCAGATTTTGTTGAAAATTAGAATAAATAGACTGTTTAATCACTGAAATATGTATGTTCTAAATTCGGTATTCTTCTTGCAATTTGCAAATATGTCTTACTTTATTTCATATAACGGTTGACAAATGACCATATACAAATGCACTTCTTTTGGACTTTTGGGGCTAAACTTGATTATGAGTTGTATTCAACGTTTTCGGGCGATTAATAATATAATTTTGATTTGTGTGGGTGAATATTAATTCCATACTCCCATTGTTTAGTACGGAGTACTACATATTAATCTCATCAGTATTAATATCATTTTCGGCATCAATCTCATTGGTTAGATGTTTGGCATTAATGCCATTAGTATTACAGCATTAATCCCATATTCCCATTAGCTTATGTTGTTATTAACCCTATTGTTTCTATTATACTTGTGATGACCTTTTTACTATTGCCTAACGTATCATATGATGTGATGGATTTTTGTAGAGATTAAAAAGCTAATGAAGATAAGTTTAAAGAGATACTTTAGATCAACTTGAAAGATATGTTGTTGATGTGCGCTCTAACTCCATATTTAAGGTCTTGAAAGGACCATGTTGGTAGACTTCAACATTGAAAGAGTTTTTACGGATAAATTGAGCAATCAAATGAGTGATGACCGGCTCAATGATAGATTCCTTGCTTATGTAGGAAATAATATCTTTTTGAGAATTGACAATGATGTCATTATTAAATGATATCAATCTATGAAAACTTGTAGACAAAAATTATGAATTTGTCATGTGCTTTTAGTATTTGACTAGGATGAGAACTCTTATTCTTGCCAAACATTTGTAGTATTTATTTAATAATTTTTATATTCTACCTTTTTGATGCATTAAAAGTTATATTACATATATTATATATGAAATGTTTTCCCCTGGATTGAAATGCTAGATGCCTAGATCCACCCTGCCTGTAACTGTGAGTGCAAAACCCACACTATCAACCAAATCTTAATTCTAGCTCAATTTATTCCTCCAGACAAACTTACTGGCCGGTTATGGGTCCTCGGGGTGCATCATTTTTCACAAACACTTCGGAACTGATATCATGCAGGGGCAGACCCACCACAGTTCATTCACGTGAACACTCAAAAATTTATTTTTTGTTCAATGTCGTTTTGATCATTTTAACAAAAAACTCCAAGGCAGAATAAGGAATCTTAAGAAAAATAGAGCTGAGGGCACAAACCATCACCATTCGATGCCGGAGTGCCGGCCAGCCAAAACTATTGCAAGAAACGTACCTTCTGTCCTTATTTCTCATGACTTTGCCACTGGACACTGACCTCGCTCCTGCCACTCACCAGACGCCATCCATCCCAGCTGACTAACCGACGGTCGCTTTCTCTTAGACTCCCAGCCAAGGTGGATGAACTGAAGAAGATGGAGTATATAGTTCAGGTTACTAGAATATCAGTAGTAATGGCATTACCACATTAGTATCTCAATTTGATAACAACGGTTTGTCCAAAGCTTTAACTTTGTAGTAAATCTAACTATCTAAGTAACAGTTTGTGCTATTTGGCTATCTACTTCCCTGCAGCGGCTGTAGGTGTAGTCATTAGCGTATGAGCGTAGCCAGAAAAAGTAACATGGGGGCGTACAAAGATTTTTTCAAAGAATTTATTAGCAGTTCTTTGGGAGTTGTGCTGAGAACTCGGGATATGCTTAATCAGTTAGGTGGCTTCTTGTGTGCACTGGTACGGTGTTAGAACCCCGGAGACAAGCTTCGGGGAATGTGATATATAAAAACAGAAAAAGAAAAAAGAGAAAAAAACATACAATGCCTAGTAGTTAATAAAAAGTGAACCATAATGACAGCTAAACGTGCTGTTCTAGTTTTCTTTTAGGGTGTCTAGTTATCTTGATTTTTGCATATGCAGCTAAACGAACTCATATCTGCAATTCTGCAGATAACAATAAGGCTACTGTAGACTGCCAAATCTCTCTGGTGAATCATTGACATGCTAAGAGTTTGTACACTTTATGTGTAATATATCCCTGAGGACCCTGACTCTCTGGGAACCTGCGGTGAGGATTTCGTAAAACGGACAGCTCTAATGCCTGTATCAATTGAACTAGACTCTAGTATACTATGGATTTGAGTCATTTGACCCACTTGTATAGGTTTATATATATTTAACATGGGTTGCACAAAGACAAAGTGATGGTGGAAGATCCTCATTCAGTAAATAGTCCTCGGAGAATTCTCAGTTTTACAAAAAACAAGAGGGCAACTGTTGTCTTCCCAGATTCAAATCAAAAGGCTTCAGAATTTGCTCTTCCTGGGGATCACGGACCCAATCCTTCTGAAGTTTATGGATTCGTTGGGTCTATTTCTACCGTTGTTGCTACAGGTTTGATTCATCCTTCTTCCTTTTAGCTCATTGGTTGTGAACTACAAATATTGCTTGCTCCCTTCATTCATTTAGGGTGTTTGGAGCACGAGAAGCGATATGGAAAGAAAACAGGAAGGAAAGTATAGGAGAGATTTTGAAAAAATAAGAATGTTGAGAGGGAAATAATTTATTAGTTGATTAGTTCATACTCAAATAGATTTATATTTTAGGGAAAATGGAAAATAATAATCCAACCTTTTAGCGGTCTTCTTACAATAATCTCACCTTATCATAATTGAGGAATAATCCAACCTTTGCACCCCATCTTCATTCGTTGGTCCCTGACCGGTTGATGACCTGCTATTACGGGTTTTTTCATTTGCTTTGCAAATCATTCAAGCATAAATCCCACCTTTCACAAATCTTCTTCAAGCGGTCCTACATATCATTTTTCTTTTTTGTCCATAAAACTTTTCCCTTTTTATTTGTATTGTCTTGACTCTTTTGTTCCCCTCTTTGGTCTTCTTATTTTTATTTCTTTTCATTTTTTTTAATGTTTATGTATTCCATTTTTCTTACTTTTTCTTCTTCCCAATTATTATTTCATTTTCATTTTTATATATTTTTTCGGATTAGTTTCATTCTTATAAAGATCTTTTTCTCACCGTACTAACTTTTTACTTTACTTTTTTTACTTTCACTTATTTATTTCATATTTCCTTTTCTTACCTTTATTCCATCACTAATATATTTTTGAGAAACTAGCCCCAAAACAGAATTAAACTAACACCTAAATGCATAAATAGGACTATGTTAACTATCTTTCCAAAATAGGGCAAATGTACAGTCTATCTTCTTATTCTACATTTCTACCCTTACCGTAACTTAATAGGATAATCATATTTACTATTATAATAAAAGAGAAAAATAATAAAAAGTATTTCAATTTACAAAAGTATTATTAAAAAAGTTAAAAAAAAATTCAAAATAATAAAACAATAAATAGTAATAAAAAATAATTAAAAGAAAACTCTAAAAGTAAATAAAAATAGATAAAACTCATTAAAAATAAAAATAAAAATTGGAGGCCTTTCCCGCAGCCTCGCCACCTCCCAGCAATGTCAACTCTGATTGGTGAAAAAAATGCCACTTTGTGTAAACACTTCAATTTTTTTTCTTATATTGCCATGAATTTACTCTTTGAAAATGCCAAAATTTTCTCTAAATATGTCATGAAGATGGCATTACTAACACATGTTGGCATTTTTTACGGTGGTCGAAGATGGTGGGTGTTGGGAGGTTGTTGAAACGCAACCGATGCTTGCATATTTTTTTTACTTTTTTATTTTTTTATTTTTAGTTTTTGAGTTTTTAATTTTATAATTTTCATTTTTCTAATGTTTTAGTTTTATTAATTTTATTTAATATTTATTTTCGTTTTTTATTTTTCTACATTTAATTTTTATTATGAATAAGGTTATGTCATTCCTTTTATGTTTTAATTATTAATGAAATATGAATTGCACTAAACAAAGCAAGGATAGAATTGGAAAGCTAGTCCTATTTTAGGAATTTTAAAATTATACTCATATTCTTGCAATTAAAGTTTCATTAAATACAATTTGAGGAATGTCCCCTATATTTTTCTCTTTTCTAAAATATTCAAAGAGAAAATATAAACAAGTAGTCCGGAAAAATTATAAAAAGAGTACACCGAATATGAATACATAAAAAGGAAAGAAAAATTTTAGGAAGAAAAAACAAAAATCAAATGTGGGACCGTTTCGAGAAGATTTGTAGAAGGTGGGATTTATGGTTGAATGATTTGCAAAGAAAATGAAACCCCCCGGAAAAACAGGTCATCAACCGGTCAGGAACCAGCCAATGAAGATGAGGTGCAAAGGTTGGATTATTCCTGAATTACGATAAGGTGGGATTATTGTAAGAAGACCGCTAAAAGGTTGGATTATTAGTTTCCATTTTCCCTATATTTTATATATGTCGAAACACATTTTGTTAATTTTTCCTTTTATACTCAAAGTAAAGATTCTAAATTCTTTCAAAAAAAGTAAAGATTCTAAACATGTGGTGAGGAAAACATAAAAGATGACTCAAATTTCCGGTATCTACATCCTGAGCTAAAACCTAATACAAGAGAATTCTTTTTCCAGCAATTTTTTCCCTATTCGTATATCATTTTTCGAGATCCAAACACACCCAAAATAATTGGGAGACCAAAGGGGAGTTCCAAATGTGTGTCTGTGTGTTCTTAGGACTATAAGAGATATTATTAGATTCATCATCTTGATACTTACATTTTGGTAAGAAGGCTTTTCTGCATTATTCTTCACTTGAAGGTTTCAGGAAAATCACTCAGAAAATTATTTTGAGGCTTTTGGCACACACATTTATAGTTTTTCTCTTAAGTTATTTTATTTAGTTTTCCTTTTTGTTGTAGTTATTTCTCAGAATTGTTTGTGCTATCTCCAAGATTTTCTTGTGTTTATTGTGATTGGGAGATTCATGAACATTAATGGCATTCCTCTCTCTGGACGGGCACATTTAGTTATGTACTTGTTGTCCAATTTCCTTTATTGCTTTGCGCAGTTATCTTTCTTGTGTGGGCATATGTCCCTGAGAATTGGTTGCATTCAGTCGGGATCTTCTACTATCCAAGCAGGTGAATACAATTGAAACACAGGGACCGCTGACTAACTGGATAATTATCTGTTTTCCTTGAAAACTGGAAAACATATTTACTTTATTATTTTCCAGAAATAGAAAAATAGAAACATGTTTCTAATATCTCAAAAAAAGGAGTGATAGTTTTACAACTGCTTCTCTACCTGTCGCAAATCACAATCTTGTAAAGAAGGAAATATGAATAAACTATTTAAACATCAAAATATGCCAACTCGGAGACAACTTGAATTGCTTTATCGTGACGAAGAATAAGGGAAAAAAATGTACATACAATATACCCTGACACTTTGTAAACAATTAAACATTAAGAGCCTTTTTGGTAAGACTTATTTGGCTGAAATGGCTTAACTTTTTGAAAGGAAAAGCTTTTGGTGACCTCCGTTGCAGCCAATATTTTTTCAAAAGGTACTTATTTTTAATTACTCTGCAGATTCTGCTGCAAAATAAGCCACTTTTGAGCCTAAGTCCTCCTAGTCAGTGAACAAGTGAGCATAAATAAAACAGCCTATAACTACTTATAGAGTTATAGATGGTGTATAGAAATGAATGTTTTATGAACATATATGTGTATTTGTGACTGAGCATGCAAATATCTGTCAACATTTTCATGGAGAGAATAAAATGCTTCTGGTTTCATTGTGAATTCAGAACGATGCCTATGATCTGTAAAGCAATTCTTTAAAGATTATCTTATAATAAAACATAGTTCCTTTACTGCCATTTTTTGCTTATTAGGTCTTACGACCCATTGTTTACAGGTACTGGGCATTGGCTGTGCCAGCATATGTTATGATGACCGTAGTTCTATCAGTAACATTTTACATTGGTCTCAACTTCATGTCCACACCTCCCCCCACTTCTTTCACCACCATGTTTGGTAAATCTCTACCTGTAAACAGTTTTAGTTAGGAAAGCACACTTTTCTGAAATTCATTAGGGGGTCTGTTTGGATGGCTAAGTCGATATATATGTATATATATGGTCTAAAATGAAAGAGGCTTGAGATTGTGCATCTTAGGCATACCTTACATGGTCATGGTTCAATTAATATATATATATATATATATATATATATATATATATATATATATATATATATATATATATATATATATATATATATATATATATATATATATATATATATATATATATATATATATATATATAGGAAAAAGATCCTGTCGAACTATCCAAACAGGATCCATCCTCCGTCCGGCTACCTCCATTTGAAGTAGTTCCCGTTGTAGTTTTTAATGAAAACTTGTGAGTATGTTCTTCATTAAGTGTAAATTATGTTCACAAAGTTTCAGATCAAAATTCAATTAGGAAGTCAGTTAAATAAATTGTTGAAGAATACTACATTTTTTTGATAGGTACTCAGCAAAACGCAGCAGAAAATTGGTAGTATAATGATAGTAATATCGGTCTTACAATGGCTGAAAGGGAAGAAACAGAAGAAACAGAAAATAGATGATACTCTTCGAGGTCTTGCTCTCCCAAATTCCCAGATCCGACTAAATTCTGACCAACTACCTTATTCCCTCCTTCCCACTCTTATAGTAATCATATTCTAACGGGTCAGCCCATATTTTATGACATGACCTAGAATCCTTATTTATACACTAGCACACTTATTTAATACGAAGTATCATTCTATTATTATTATTATTATTATTATTATTATTATTATTATTATTATTATTATTATTATTATTATCTTCAGCCTATGTATGTTCCTATCATTTTTATATAAACTTCACGTAGTGTTTTTCAACAATTTATTTAATTGACTTCCTGAATAGAATTTTAAGATGAAATTTGGTAGATATAATTTACACTTCATGAAGAAAACATGCTCACAAAATTCACTAAAAAATTCCACCCCGAAGCACCTCAAATGAAGGCGGACGCACATCAATTCTTGTTAGATGGGGCCTGATAGGATCATTCCTCTATATATATAGGTCATATAAAAGAGCACTTAACTTACAAAATGCAAATGGTTAAGGTGCGTTGGATTTAAATATCTAAGGGCTGAAGAACGTAAAATGACATTTTGGTAATTAAACCAAATTATTTTGGATGCAACACTTTGAAGATCAATATACAATACAAATAGCATAAACATGTATTGTACAAAATTTTACACGATTGGTGCACTTTGTAATTGATCTGCCTCCTATTTATATTGAGATTCTATAAAAGTTCAAGTCATAACATATAGGCTCTCATACAAATATTTCAATCACTCCGGTTTTCAAATCAATTTATCAAGATATAGCCCGCCAAAGGTTTCAATCCAAACCAACCCTTTACTGTGTGTCTTGTGAATTGTGATGGATGTGTATGACCGTGATTTATGTACTTTTATGACCTGTTTGGTATTACAAGGCTTGATCATCCGGATTTTCTTCTTTAAAATTGAATTTCGCCAAATAAGTAAAAAGGCTACTGATAAAGTTACAAGTACAATAAGTGGATTAATGCTATTGCTATCCAATGGGGACTTGGAATTGTATCCAACATAGCTCATTAGCTTGTCTGTTGTAGTAGATATCTTGAACCTGTTGTGTTTTCATATGTGCAGATGAATTCAGTAGAGAACCATTGCTGAGCAGTGCTTTTATAGACGATGAAGATGATGAGAGACCCATTGATCCGATCTCTGATATTGGCATTGATCAAATTAATAAAATAATGTTTCAGAATTTTGATTAACATTTTTTTGCTAGTCACCACTAGCAGCCTTATAACATTGCTTTGTATGTCGCTATACTTGGTAATTGTGATCAATGGAAAAATTAAAGAAAACAGATTTATGCAGAAGGAAATCATGAGATGAACACCCTCCACATAAACCACATTCCAAAAGTTTATAGGGTTCCCCTTAAGCTTTGTCAATGATGTACTGATCTTTGTTGTTTTTTGGTAAATCTGAAAATCCAAAAAAAAAAACAGCGTCGAATGCTAATATTATAAAGAAGTTTTAACCTAAATGTTATTAAAAAGAAAAGCAAGAACAAAAATAAAATGACTTTAAAACGTTCCAAAACCAATTATCATGTATATGCTCATATATGTTGTCGACAATCAGTGCTAGGGATGGACTTGGGCGGGCTTTTTTCCCAGGCACTTGGGCCCAGAACCGGCCCGGGTTGATACCGGGTCTGGGCCTAACTGGGCCGGGCCGGGCCCGGTTCAATGTTTAATTTTTTTTGGCTTTCTTGTTACCCCCCACCCCCACCCCTCAAACTTCCCCAAAACACCCAGCCCTACCCTAGGAAAAGAAAAAAAATTGAAAAAAAAGCCCGGGCCCGGCCCAAACCGCCTGGGTCGGTTCAACAAAATTGGGCCCGAGCCCGGTCCGCCCGACCCGCCAAAACGGGCTAAAAGCCCGGAACAGGCCAACCCGACCCGGCCGGTCCAGGCCCGCACAGTAGCAGGTCGGTCCGGGTTCTGGGCCCAGCCATCCCTAATCAGTGCTATCACAACTAATGGCATGTATCATCTTTGGGAGTGATGAACCTAACGTGAATTTGCTTCTCCATTGTGCAACAAGATCTCAACTTTGACCCGACGATGGACTTCAGGTGCGGACTTTGAAGCTTGTTGTAAGGACTATAGAGTGAAAGAACGCCATCAGCAGCTGTGAAAAACATTTATAATGTGTGTGTAAACGTGTTACTGTAATATAGAATTGTAGTCTTGTACTCTTGTAGAGTAGGGATTTATAAATGTTAAGGTATATTTTAAAGAAGTTATCATGTATATTGAAGGAATAGAGAACAAAAAATCGTAACATACCCCCTGCCCCGACTGCACCCTCTAAGTGCAGCCTCAAATGGGCGAAGTGGTCGTGAGCAAAAGAAAAATGCATATAGCTACTAACTAGCAGGGTGGACACAATTCAAGTTCCGGAACTGAATGGGACCAAAACCAGTAATAAAGGAACCAATTCAGCACTCAATATTTTTGTTCCAAACCGTTGGACCAGAGCTGATATGTGAAACGGGTTCAAAGTTCAAACCAGTTCCAATTCCTTCAAGTTAGGACCGGAAGTGATAGGTTATGATTTATTATTTTTTCCTGAAAAATAGATAAAAACAAAGATGGGAATGTTTAACTTGAAACTATTACCTATACCTAAAAGCGGTGTGCGTAGAGCCACATAGAGCTGTGAGTTCAGCCCTTGCAACTCGGTATGGACTCAGTCTCAATCCCAAACAGTACCAGACCCAGTTCTGGACCGGGCCATACCGAGAGACCGAGTCCATGCCTACTTGCAACTAGAGTGACTACCACTAATTTCAGTCGAAAGCACCATATGCCAATGTCAGATTGTCAGCACAGGGCGAAAAGCAAACACAGCTCCCTAACAGGATCCACGTCCATGCTTGATTTTATATTTTTATAGCAATCATTCACTTCATTGGTATAAGCTTTGGGCATACCGTTATGCTATTTATAGAGCTTCTTTATAGTTGGAGAAAGAAATACACTCTTTTTCATCACCAATAAAAAACCAAAAACAATCCTAAAATAACAGTACTCGGAAAATTGAGGTATAATAAATAAAACATTCCCAACAGGACAGACATTGTATTAATCCACAAAGGTCAAGATTGAGAAATCTCTTCAGCCATTCCTACCACATAAATTGCTAGTCGAAGGTGTATTTAGTTCAGGAAATATAATAATCGACAGACACTGTAAACCAAAAGAAAAACAAACACAGACGCACATACAGACAGACAGTCCACAGAATAGTCATGCTCCTGGGCAATACCCCAAACTCTCGCTACAGTCCTTGCTACCTTCAGCCCTTTTCCAGTAAAGTGGCTGATCTGACTAAACTGCCCTTGAACTGAAAATGCTTGTTTCACTACTTGGTTGATGCCATCCATCCATACATCGTTCAGTCGATCTTCACAGACGAGTATATCTTCCGGACGAACCAGAAGCATGCATAAAAGCCGATCGTTCCAGTCAATACAAAGAAGGCATATGATGCAATCAACATGTACCCGAAATACAAAATGCCTGAGACCAGCTTTGTAATTTCCAGCTTAGTGAAGAAGTAGAAAATGGAGTAGAGGAAAAGGTATAAAGCTGAGGACCCGGAAGTCAGATATGCCCTCCACCACCAGTGATAGTCTTCACTGCACAGCTGGAAGTAGCAAAGAACGACAGTTATTTCAGCACATGTGATCAGCAAGATCACAAAAACGATGAAGAGGAACCCGAAGATGTAGTAGAACTGGTTTAGCCATATGGACGTCAAGATAAAGAAGAGCTCAATGAAAACAGCACCAAAAGGAAGAATCCCGCCAATAAGGATGGAAAAGGCTGGCTTCATGTACCATGCTTGTTCAGGTATTTGCCTTGGGATCTTGTTTGTCTTCACTGGGTCTTCCATAGCCGATTTCTTGTAACCCAAATAGCTTCCCACAAAAACTAAAGGCACCGAGATGCCAAACCATAAGCAAACGAGAGCAAACATGGTTCCGAATGGGACAGCCCCGGAGGAACGTTCCCCCCAGATGAGAGCATTCAGTACAAAGAAGACCCCAAAAAGAATCCCAGGGAACATGAATGCAGTTTTTAAGGTGATCCGCTTCCACTCCGTTCCTTTAAACATTTTGTATAAGCGTGATGATGAATAACCGGCAAATAGGCCCATGAAGACCCATAATAGAACCATGGCTGTCATGAGGCCACCTCGGTTGGAAGGTGAGAGGAAGCCCAGCACAGCAAATATCATCGTCACAAGGGTCATTGCAAATATTTGAACACCAGTCCCCACATAAACACATAGTAACCCAGAATTAATAGGAGGCCTGAAAACGTCTCCATGGACAAGCTTCCACCCTGTTTCTTCCTGTGCTTCATCTTGTGTTTCCAATTGATTGTAGTTAGCAATGTCTTTGTAGAGAGTTCTCATCATGATCATGGCAACCATACCAGAAAGGAAGAGAACGATCATTAGAGAGTTGATGATGGAGAACCAGTGGATCTGATCGTCATTCATTAGCAGGTAAGTGTCCCAACGTGAAGCCCATTTTATTTCACTTTCCTGGAACAATAAAGCAAGAATTAAGATCCTCATACCCCCCACTTAAAAAATAATGAGTACATGACTTCCTGTGAGAGAAATAATACCTTGAAAGACACATCATAAGTGAAGATAATCTCTTTATCTGTGTCTACTTCTTGTGGAACAGTACTCCCCTGAATCATCTCTTTTGTTTTCTGAGTGCAAGTTGTCACCTGAGGGTTCTTCTCATCCCACTCTTTGTACTCATGATTAATGCTGTCCAAAGAAGTCAAGTACGAAGAGATCAGAACACATCATATTTAACTTGAAAAAAACAACATTAAAATAAATGAACTGGTTGTCAAATAAAGAAAGAAGGATCAAGTATAAGCTTTTAAACCTGTTTGGTGTAACTTCAAATCCCACTATTCGAGCAGTATCTCCCGCAAGATCCCTGTGGTACATAACTCTAAAGCTCAAGTGGTTATTTATAAAATATTTCTCCACTTTACTCTGCAAAAGCAAGTAAATGAAGGTTGATTAGAGAGCATTCTGAAGTCAAATGATAGGAACATGGTTTGTGCAACACACCCCTGCATAGTTTCCCTTGAACCCAACACGGAAACCATGTTCATAAGTGGTGGGCTGACTTCCATCACGCCTTTGTCTAACAACAGCAACTGGAAGGTTATCCAAAATCCTGCACCACAATTTGACAATGATGAGAGTCTAAATAGAAACATGAACATTAGCAATACACCCCTGAGATTCTAGTGCAGGATAAATCTGAAATGAACAGTTGCAACTACAAGTCCATAACTTACATATTCACCCTATATTCGTCATCAATTTTTTCTTTGAAGTTCTTTGCAGCTTCAGGATCGAGCTTTACTCGACATGCCACCTGGCATGGAAGCTCTTGTAGCATATTGAACTGTTAAGTAATGCACAAAACATAAATCCGCATCAAGTAAGAATATGTACTCGAAAATAGTAAATGAGCATATTGTTCTAAATCTCCATATTAACGCACAGATGTGAAAGCCGTGCCCGAGACAGCGTCGCCTGAGACGTAGGTCATGGCGGAAAGCCCTTTTTGAGTTCATTACAGACATAATAGCCTCCAGGCTGCTTCAACCTACAGAAGCCTCATGTGACCTACATAAATTTGTTCTTCTCTCTTCCCTTCTCTGTCTCTAGTTTCTCTCCCTGGCTTAGATTCTGCCAGCACTCTGACAGTCTGACTCTCTATAGATCCCATCCTTTCTTTTCTTATTTCTCATTGAGTTCTTTACTGCTATTTTAGTGCTTCCACCAATATAAAGTTATAGTAAAGTGGTCAGTGGATACAGGATATCCATATATTGACCAAGGCATGTCACATAAAATGTAATAGTGTATATTTCTGTATAAGATTAATAGAGCATCACTGCATATCTGATGCTCGTAATTATGACTAATGAACTTAGAGTGTACTTGGTGCAGTTACATGTGACATACGCACATAGCATGATCATTCAATTGTTTATTAAGTTAAGTACCACATTTAGTTCCTAGGCTTTATTTTTAATGTGGGCCCTGTTTTATCCCGTATGTGTTTGGAAAATAGCTTTAGTATTACAAAATGTGTTAATCTTCGTTCTTCCTTTGCGTCTCAGGTGTACAAGTCTCAGATGCGCCGTGATGAGCTAGCCTCCCTTGCACCTCGGTTTGCCTCGGGCCCTCAACAACTACGATTAAAAGGAAAAAGATATATTCTTACAGTATAAACCGAGTTCTCAATGCGGTCACCACGAAGGACCTCGCCCAAGTTCTCTGCATTATTCACAATCTTGCGAGGTTTGCAGTAGCGCAAGTAGTAATAGTCATACGGAAGTTGTGTCTTTGTGGAAGACAATTTGTTCACTTTAACAGAAAGCTGATCACCCTGTAATCAATTAGAAAAGGTACTTTAAGAGGTTAATTACATGCAATAGCATAAGTATAACAGCTTGCAATTAGAAATAATGGCAAGCAATATGTTCCCATAATGACCAACAGTTTAAGGTAGACAGAAATAAACACATAACTCCTATACAAAAAGATGTCAAGAACAATCCACAAAATTACAACATATAAAATTTCATAATATGCAACCAAGAACACAGTCAATTCAGAGCAAAGGATACTTTTTCACACAACAACAACAACATGTTGTTGTAAAGGATACTTTTTCACACAAAACTACAAAAATGTTTCCCCCTTTCAGTTTGCCTCCCCTACAAGGGAATTAACCATGCATTGTGAGTGGAACTTAGAAAGAGCATTTCATATCCCTCTATCAGCTTGGATCTGATCGAATGATACCTCTAACTCACTAATAACACGATAAAGGGTGTTTCACTTATATGTATTGGAAGAAATACGTACACATAATTGACATAAATCCACCTGATCATGACGAGCTAAGATCCACACTAACAAATTAACTACAAGGAATGGCACCATATTTGACACGGTTGAAATTTACTACACTTAAGAACATAAACACTTGCAATGTGGTTCAAATAGGAGATCCGAACCGAATAACAGCGCACCAATACTTAGACGGTTTACCAACCACGACAGGTCCAAGCAATTCCTCACTAATTACAACTCCAATAAACCATTAATGTAATTAAGTTGATATGATTACAATATATTCATCGAAATGAAGAAAAACAACAGACATACAAATGGAGAAAGGGAGAAGGCGTACTGTTTGAAAATCTCGAGGAGCAACACCAGGGAGGTAGAAACAGTGCGCAGATGAAACAAGGAAGAAGAAGAGAGATAACATGGATATGATGTTGACCTGGCTGGATCGCCTTCGACCCATCTTTGATCCGATCCGAGATTCAGACTAGAGAAGATGAGCTCGGTCACGAAGATGGAATTTATACTGAAATCATAAGAGTAGGAAAGTTGAAAAAGTTTAATCAACCCGATGTCCTTTTACTTCCAACAATCACGTTTCTAGCCATTTCATTTCAAAAAGTAATTTGTTTGGGTATACACTTTTTGCGTACACACTTTTTACACATATCTGTGTAAGTTTTTTTTATCTGTACAGACAAAACGTATTTGATAAAAAAAGACGTTTTGTCTGTACAGACAAAAAAACCTTACACAGACATGTGTAAAAAGTGTGTACACAAAAAAGTGTGTACCTTTAGACAAAACGTAATTTGCTTGGGGTACACACTTTTTGCGTACACACTTTTTACACATGTCTGTGTAAGGTTTTTTTTTGTCTGTACAGAAAAAACGTATTTGACAAAAAAACATTTTATCTGTACAGACAAAAAAAACCTTACACAGACATTAGTAAAAAGTGTGTACACAAAAAAGTGTGTACCTTTAGAATTTTTCTTTCAAAATGGGCCATTTTTGATGTACCAAATGTACATAACATGTGTACATTGCCTGTACACATAGTCAGTTAGAGGGGTTTTGACATCAAATCTCGCCTCTTTTTAAATGAATTGTCTATGTACACAGGTAATTAGGGAAGTTTGTGTATACTTTATGTACAACTTATGTACACTAAGAGGGGTTATTGAATATGAATCGTGATGGACTTTTTTTAATCCACGAACTTTTAAAAAAATCAATGGACTTTTAAATTCATAGACTTTTTTATGGATGAATTCTATGAACTTTTAAATTCATGGATAAGTTTATTGGCTTTCAAAAAGTCCATAGACTTTTAAATGTGGACTGACACTGCTGGTCATCGAAATTTTCATCTAGATCGCTTCTACCGATCTGTTTGTCCACCTCCATCTCCGGAGTTCCCCGTTGTCGTAATCAGACTGGTCCACCACCAACAAAATGGATTTGGTTATGCAAGGCAACTAGGGACAATTAATTATATCAATTAATTAATTAAATTAGGGGTGAATATGTAATAATTAGTCATACTTAAGGAAAATCAAACATACTCCGTATGTTTTAGTCCTACGGTGAGTAATTTTCTCTATAAAATATGAAGTATTATAAGAAACAAACAAACAAACAAACAAATAAATAAATAAATAAATAAATAAATAAATAAATAAATAAATAAATTAATAAACGAAACAAATGCAATTCATATAGCAACACATAGTTCTACAAGAATAAATGAAACATAAGAATTCAAATTTATTTGTATTAAAAACAAAAGTCAAAGTTTCAAGAATGCTCAAGAATTTTGGTCATTTTATTAATGAGTAAGAACATTAATCGTTATATTCATTGCTACATGTGGTACATGCATAGATGCAATCGAGCTTTTCTTCGTAATACTTGTTTTCTTTTCTTTTCTATCTTGTAAAATTTTGTTTACTTACGATTATATATTTATTAATTTGAAATTATATTAACGATGAAAGAAAGTAATAGTTAAAATATTTATTTTCTTAATGGTTAACTGACGACGTATCAGAATTGCACCGATATAATACTTCTAGAACTGAATCGATATGGGATTAACGAGGGGGGTGGGGTGGGGCAAGCTGGAGAAGAAGAACGGAAGGAGAGGGATGAGGTCGTGGGACGAGCTGGACAGGAGGAGGAGGAGACGAAGAAGAAGAAGAAGAAGAAGAAGAAGAAGAAGAAGAAGAAGAAGAAGAAGAAGAAGAAGAAGAAGAAGAAGAAGAAGAAGAAGAAGAAGAAGAAGAAGAAGAAGAAGAAGAAGAAGAAGAAGAAGAAGAAGAAGAAGAAGAAGAAGAAGAAGAAGAAGAAGAAGAAGAAGAAGAAGAAGAAGAAGAAGAAGAAGAAGAAGAAGAGGTGGCTTTGCTAAAGAAGAAGAAAAGAGTTGGGGGGAGGGGAGGGATGGGGTGGGAAGGGATGAAGAACCGAAATAAGAAAGGTCCACGGAAATCTTTAATTAGGAGAAGAGACAATTGAAGAGAATTTATGTACTAAGAATGTGTTAAAAGTCCACGAGAATCCATGATTTTAGAAGTCAATAAAAATGAACGGAATTTTGAATACGCCTGGACTTTTATAGATTTTTAAAAGTCTGCATTGAATACACTTAGAATTTTGTAGACTTTTAAAAGTCCACATTGAATACACCCAAACTTTTAAAATTCATGGAGTTTTAAAATTTTGGTACTAATTCTTAATACAATACACCCCTCTAAGAAATATATGTTTAAAGTTTTAAACATATATTTCTTCCATTAAAGGGATATCAATATTTTGCATCCTGAAAATGATACTCTTTTTATCCCGCTAAAATTGTCTCACTTTTTATCTTTTGATTCATCATATTAAAATGATCTTATATCAAATATAATAATATTTGTGTGATTTTAAATCGTTCTTATTTCTTTTTTACTTTATCAATTTAATAGCAACCATATAAATTTACGTTTCAATAATAATCGCGTCACATCCTCTTACACCAAATATAGTGAGAGGTAGTAATATAGATCCTGTTTTTTCACACTAAAATTAGAATTTATTCGTACATCCCACACCTTTTTTATGTTCACGGTGAAAATATTAATGAAGTGATAATAGAAAGCAAACTCGAATTCAAACAAAAGATATTGGCCCACAAATTCTAACTCTACCATGATATTTTCACTGCTTTTTTTAGTGAAAATTTATATATATAATTTGAATTATTTTATACTGCGCACAAAATACGAAAAGTAAAAAAAAGAGTATTAAAGTTCAAACATCACAGTATTATATCATAAGCTTGTGAAATTAAAAGTTAGTTCTAATGAATTTTATTAATTTTTTCATTCTCTATTACCTAATTTTTATTACATGTTTTATAAAGAAATTTATCTGTGGTTTGTATCCTTTTCACTTTCTTATTTCACATAACGGTCAAAATTGACAAAACTAAGTCTAATGTATTTTAATTTATCTGTGGTTTGAATAGTGGTTTGATCATTTTGAGGAAGTAAATTATATTAAGGGTTTGTAGGGAGAATATGTATTTATTAGTGTTACATTTTCTTATTTGAATTCATATAATAATAATCACACAGATGTTTTTCGTATATTAATTTTGTATTCCATATAATAGGTTTAAAAGAATATTCCAAAAGAAAAACTTATGTATTGATACGTATACAGTTTCATAAGTAATTTAGTTATACATATGATTTATAGTTTAATATAGGGAAAACTGTCAATTACACTCTCGTACTATGGGCGAACTCTCAATTGAGCCCTCCTACTTTGATAACCTTCAATTGAATCCGCCAAGTCTCCTAATTGATTGATTTTGGAGACTTGGCGGATTCAATTGAAGGTTATCAAAGTAGGAGAGCTCAATTGAGGGTTCGCCCATAGTACGAGGGTGTAATTGACAGTTTTCCCTTTAATATACCACCAACTATTATCAAATTCACAAATCTATAATATTTCTTAATTAAATAAAAAAACAAATTCCAACTTTTTAACAACTCTACTATAAAAGTAAATTAATTACTAATAAATAGAACAATTCTTGTTTGTGTTTCATATTTTCTATACTTATTTCTAGTTTGAACTTTGAAGTTTAGAAAAGAGTATTAATTGTGATATTTTATACAAAACTTTATTCTACATTTGTTTTTTGTTTGTGGAGAAACTAGTAGTACTTATAATAATCAAGTTTTGGTGCAAAACAAATGAAATATACCTTAAAAGGTGAAAGTGTCACATACAACTATGTAGAAAGAGTAAGTTTTTTTATAACAAATGAGTTTTATTAAATGACATGGCTTCTAATATGTAGAATGACCTTTACAAAAAGAAATATGTTATTTTTAATAAAAATCAGATACATTCATTGTTTTGCTTACTAATTGCAATTAGTTTTGTCAAAGATTTTGCACGGATTAGCACTCTTATCAAATTCGATTCAAAGTTTGTACAAAAGCGATTTTGCATGAAAAAATTATCACAGGATCTTTACACAAATTGTGTCAATTAGGGATAAATTAGTGTCAAACACTTTGATAAAAGCTCAATATCTAAAATTAGATTATTAAATAAAATTGTATTGAAGGATGAAATAGCAAACTTGAATTATACTTCATCTTTAGGCATAGTAGTATTACGGAGTATATTTCAAACAAGTATCAACAAAATTTGTGGCATAACATGTGGCATTAAACATGATTCTAGTTCGGAACTGAAATCCTAACCATTTTATTGTATGAAAAATAACGACAATTCCATTCCAAAATCAGAAACGGTGCAAGGAAAAATTATTTCCAATGCAAGTCATGTCTTTCTATCATAAAGTCTAATATTACTGTTTAGAATTATTTTAATGATTTCAAAATTAGATGTATAATTCATACGGAGTATATGTATTGTTTCAAACATCCCTCCTTGAAATAACGTTTGGATCCGCCACTAGTGTACGGTGATTTTATAGCATCATAGACATAAACTTTTCCATTTGTCAAATAAATAATACAAGCTCAGTTGCTTAGATCACCTACAATGTGAAGTCTATTATGCCGTTTTCAGATCGAGGCACATGTTTCATTTTTTAACAAAGTGGAACATGTGTTTCAATTCTGTTATCACAACTAGGGCATGAAGTCTAATCCCCTAAGAAAAATTAACTCCGATTTTCAAATGTTCCGAAAATTAAAAGAAAAATACTAGAAGGTGCGTCTCGTCAAAAAGACCTCCAGACCATGTTTCTTTTTTTTTTGTTTCCGGCCACCTTATCGCCAGAAAGTCCACCGGAAAAGTGATATTAGTGAATTCGTTTTTAAAAAATAATCCAAATAAAGGCGAACAATCCAAAGAGAATGATAGTTTGGTGATCTCGTTGACAAGACGCACCTCCCAGTATTTTCCTTTTAATTTTGGCGAAATTGACATGAATAATCCCTATTTTTATGCATTTTACAAAAATAATCCCTACTGGGAAAGTTCACAACAATAATCCAAACTATTTATACTCTTTCACAAAAATAAACCCGAATTTAATAGTGCTCACATTTCTTTGTTTTTTGTATTTTAAATATAATGAAGCAAAAATGTGTACAAACATCAACAATATTATATACTTCATATATTTGTCCTTATATTTACTTTTATTATGAATTAAATTTAATAGTCATTATTTTTCATATAATGTAATAAAAATATTTAAAAACATACTCATCAAATCCTTTTTTTTTTCTTTTAGTTCTAATCAATATTTTATTTATATTCATTTTTATTCATTGTAATAGAGATTTAAAATTAATTTTAGTAATTCTATATTAAAATTACTAAAATGAATACAAGTATGTGTTCAAATATTTTTATTATATTTTACAAAAAATAGTTATTATTAAATTAAATTTATTGTAGAAATAAGACTAAACCAAAACATAATATTATTAATGTTTTTATATATATTTGCTTCATTTTATTTTAAATTTCAAAAAAAATAACGGAGAAGTTAACACCGTTAACTTCCGGTTTATTTTTGTGAAACAATTATCCGGTTGGGATTATTGTTGTGAACTTTTCCAGTAGGGATTATTTTTGTAAAATGCCTAGAAGTAGGGATTATTGGTGTCAATTTTGCCTTTAATTTTTCAAAAACTTTTGAAAATCAAAATTAATTTTTCTAACGGTGTTAGATGTCATGTCCCAACTGTGATAACAGAATTGAAACACATGTCCCATTGTTAAAAAATGAAACATGTGCCCCCTAACTAAAAACGGCTCAAACAACAAATATACTTCTCCTTCTTTATTTTACTCGGCCGTTTGGTGACTCTCTTTCTCGACTTATCAAGCTTATCAGTCAACTTTTTCACCAAACACGTAATTCTTTATTTCGCGCGCTGAAGTTTGTAATAAGCAGAAAAAGTAAGGTTGGACTTATTTTTCTGGCTGTTTTGGCTGAAGTCACTGTAGAGGATCATTTTAACTATTTTTTCATGTAATTTTTTATTTAACTTATTAATAACAAATATTTTAAATATAATTTTTTCATGAATCAACAGAATCAGCCAATACAACCACTTCAACCAGAACTTCATAAATTTCAACAGAATCAACCAATTCAGCTAATTTTAGTGTTACCAAACGGGCTTATGTGCAAGATTGAATATTCAGCTCACATGTTTCAAAGGTTCGTGACATTTAGGCTACTATTCTCTCTAATGTTACATATATCCCATAATGTAAGATACATTTAGGCTTGAATGTTTGATGGAAGTTCTAACAAAATAAAAGATGATTTTATAACTCTAAAAGGATAAAATGATACAAAATGCAAAACGAATCCACAAAAGTAGAGTAAAATAATACATAAAAGGATAAAATGATAAATTAAAAAGTTAATGAAGAAAGTAATCATATTTTATGAAGAACCCGAAAAGAAAAGTGTAGCTCATACGGCGGATCCACAACGGGGAGTTTTTTTTTCTAATCATATTTCTTTTGGAAAACTGTCAAATAGATCCTCGAATTTTCATAAAAAAATCAATTAAGTCCTTCTATAGGAGACTCTGTCCGGTCGTCGCGATTTGGGGCGGTTCCCGGTGGATTTTTTTGATGAAATTTTTTTAGCATCTTATTCATCAAGTCTAGTTTACTCATGTCAAATTTCAGCTAAAATTTTAATCGGGAGCTAGGGGTGGACTCGGGCCGGGCCAACCGGCCCGCTACTGTGCGGGCCCGGTGGGATGGCGGTTCGGGCTCGGGCCCTTCAAAAGGTGAACCGGTCCGGACGGTTCGGGCCCCGGGCCGGGCCAATTTTTTTTTTTTTTTGAATTTTTTTTAAGTTTTTGGGTTGGGCTGGGTATTTTGGGCCATTTGAGGTGGTTAGGATTGGTTTGGGGGTGAGGGGGAGGGTTGGGGGTTAACTAGGAAAAGCCAAAAAAAAAAGAACCGAGGCCTGGCCCAGCCCGGCCCGGACCCGGGGGTTACCCGGGCCGGTTCCGGGCCTCCCCTTCTTGAATTGAGGCCCGGTCTGGCCCGAACCGGAACCGGTCCATGTATGTCGGGAACGCATTCAAATTAATTCGAGAACGCAAAAATACGCAATTATCTTCAAGAATTAAGTTGAATGTGTAAACTAGACTTGATGAATAAGATGCTCAAAAAAATTCATCAAAAAATTCCATCAAGAACTACCCCAAATCACGATGACCGGACAGAACCTCCTATAGAAGGACTTAATTGACCTTTTTATGAAAGTTCGAGGACCTATTTGACAGTTTTCCCTATTTTTTTAGGGATATAAAATGTTGATCAGCCCGTCTCTTAAGCAAAGTGAAGTGAAGCGGGGTTTCTTAGGAAGGGAAGGGGTGCAATTATGCAAATAACAAAAGCCCATGGATGTCCGCATCCAAAAAAACTCAGGAGCACAACTTGCCACTTGGGTTGTGATCAAATTTATGTTCGGGTCCAATAAATACAGGATATGAAATTGGCAGAATCTCAGATAATGACAATCCCCAAAAACTCATAGCTTCAAGTTCCACACTTCATTCCACCAAAACAGATGGTTATTTAAAAAATTAAATTAAAAACCATAGTTTCATGTTCCAGGATTGTTGTTTCAAAACAGATCAATTCAGTCTAAAACTCTAAATGTTATGTCCTACCGAGAAAATTGGATAAATTAACAGTTGAGCAAGTGAGATTTAAACTTCTCCAGCTCAGCCAAAACCTCATCTTTTGGCCTATAAATGAGGTCCATCATTCTCCATATCTGCACAGGACAAGTTACAGAGGATAAGGAACAGGCACAAGATTTTTAAGTCGGCCTGGAGCATACTAATAATAAGCAGAAGGCGATAAATGTGTGGGTTTTTACCTGCAATGTACCACCTCCACCTGTGCTTTCACCGTCATCAGAAACGCTAACAATAGTCCATGGATCCGATGCATTCCAGTGGAAATCAACAACTTTATCCCTAAGTAAATCCACATAGACAGCAGAGCATTACAATATGTAATAAATTTGGAAATAGGATGTATAAAGCTCAATGGCATTGATATGAAGATTGATTTTGATATTTAAAGTTGAACTGCAAAAAGGACATCGCATGCCATGGTAGCTGGTGTGAATTGGGATGTGTTAGAAAAACGGATAATATATGTATTTTAATGAGATCCAATTTTCAATTGCTTTCTTAGTATCCATTTTGGTAACAGTGAATATGACTAAAATGACAAAATTACAGAATTAATTGCTGAAATTGTTGAACTAAATGACTAAATTGTCCAAAAAACATCTAATAAATATTTTCTTAACAAATAAATGAAAAAGATTTCTAAGAATATGGTACATATTAATTCATATCAGCGACTTTACCCAAAAGAATACTTTATGAACTACTCTTTTTTATTACTATCAACTAATTCAGAAATTCAGCCAGCATAATCAAGTAATTAGTGTTCGGTAACCAATATGGCTCATAAGCCAGAGAAGCATAAACAAAAGGCCTCCAACCGGCACTGGTTCTATCCATAATGTTTTCATAAGATCAAATATTTTCTTCCTTTGTCTTGTTATCATATTCCTCTTTAATATCCTTTTCCTTGTGTTGAGAATGGAAGATTATAGAGCAAAAGTGCTGATAGAATTTATAATTTAACATGGAGCAATCCATTACAGATATAAGAAAGCAGATGAAAAGTGATTAGGAGTCCCCAAACCTGTGTCCAGCATGACGGAAGAACAAGCCCGGAGGGGAATTTGCAGGTGTTGGTTCTTCATGTTCCTTACCAATCTGACCAAAACATTTATTTATCAAAACAAATATGCTAAATAAAAAATGATACATCATTTTAATGATGAAACACGGATAGTTCCCTTCAAACTGCAAAACTCAAAAGAATAAGTATGATAACTCAAACCTTCTCATGATCCCAGATGTTCAAGACACCATCCTCCGCAGAACTTCCAAAGACAGATGACTTGTCCGGAGACCACTGAACAATTTACAAGTTTATTTCTAAAGATTATTGTTTATTATAGGGATTTTTTTCATGAACATATTAATGAAACCAATCATATGAGATCAAATTTTCCAGATTACCCTTGTACAATCATAAAAATGTGTACAAATAGGTATGTCAAATCATAAAAGGATTAATTGAGAAAAGTACTACGTATAAAGATTTTGATGTTTAAAAAAGGTAGAAATAATCATGGGAAAAAACTGAAAATGGTAGTATGACTCATGAAACAGGATGGGGGAGCAGAGTACGAGTATATAATACCTGGACACATAGAACAGCAGCAGAGTGACCTTCAAATATGTGGACAGGAGATCCTACTCCTCCAGAAGTGAGTTTGCGACGATCAAACATACGAACTGTGTTATCAGCAGACCTGAATAAACAGGGTATTCACCTCAACTCCTAAAAAAGATTGTATATGCTAATGGTGACACTAGTTCAACTGGTTAATATTATGTTAACAAGTTAACCCCAGATAAATAAAAAATTAGAACAAATGTCTACCTATAACCAATCAAATGAAGAATTTAAACAGCAAAGTCCTGAAAGTAAAATACTTAGGATGCATTACCCAGTCAATATAAGATTAACGTCAAATGAGTTCCAGTCAACACAATGGAGATCAGCATTGTGGGCCTTCTTAACCTGCGAAAAACCATAGTCCCATATAACCATAGATATCTTAGCAGTTAGCACAAGTGCAGAACTAGAATTGACCTAATGGCAGTAATAAGGTTTAGCCATTTAGACAAGAGATAAGTAATTTGATCACGAGGACCTTCTAGATGAAGTTCTAAGAAATAACTGTGTCTAAGATTATAGCACCAAATCAGAGAATGAAATGCACAGGTTGGTAACTGTCAAGAAAGAGCATATTGTTTGATAGTTAAAAGGAATGGCAATGGATTCATAATTCAGATTCCGCCAAGAGAGCACAGACTAAAAGTTTTCATAGGCAGGCAGTCCTCTTTTACATGTGTAAACTGAACTAGCCACACGAAAAAGAAAATTCAAGAGAATAACCTTCATGATTGGAGCTGAACCTTGTCTTGAATCCCAGAATATTATGCAAGAATCATCACCAACACTACAGAACTCTTGTGCACTATATCAAAAAGAGAAAAATCAAATGTTAGGTTCTTGATACAAATTTTCTAACTTTGCATTTCTTTTTCCAACATGGTAGAATATTTTGATCATGAAAAAACATTAATATGGCAATCTGCTAAAGAATAAAAAAATAGTGCAAACTGGAGGAAGTCTATCTTAGAGTTTGAGATGAGCAGCGCCAGACCACAGCTACTAAGTCCATGCTGATACTGGATTATAATACATATGGGTCAAACTAAGGGTTAGAAGGTTTAATCCAACCAATTAACTAGTTGAACTCAGCTCATAGCATTATAAACTTAACTATTGGGTTCTATTATTTCCAATGTGGCCAAGTTTTTAAAAAGATACTACATTTATTTTTCATATATTTTTTCCTAAAATGCCTCTTAATGTGTGTAGGAGAAATATATTTTATTGCTATGTAGAGTAGAGGTTTACACTCATGCCTAATAAATGGTATAGTAGAAGTTTACTATCAATACAACACATTTATTATTTATGCTACTCAATTTATTCTTAAGATAAAAGAAACTAAATGTGTCAGGCAGGATGCAGATATAGGAAGTCAAATACCTTGAAGGGCAAAACTGAACATCTTCAACAGTATCATCATGCCCTTGAAAAACACCTCGAGCTTGAACAGTAGGACTATTCCCAGGCAGCTTACTGTTGGTGGCTCCAGATCCTGGAGACTTTTTATCTCCCTGTTCTGTTGCCAGGGTAGAGATATGATCATGAATGCTCCACAGGACTACTGACTTGTCCTTCCCTGTCAGAAGTACAATTTTGAATCCAAAGCATTACTTTAAGCAGATTCACAAAATTATATTCATCAAACTATCATTTGTGTTTGTGTATCAACATCAGAGGCAGGTTAAACCGTTAAACAGGGGAACAAAGAGTCAACTACTTAAAAGCTGTATGGACAGCAAAATACTTCGAAAATAAAATATGTTTAGCGGCAGTTACCTCCAGATAGCACAAAGGGCTCTGTCGGGCACATGGCTAGTGCAAATTCAGCATTATCTTGATGACCTGTCAACACCTGCAAGTGGTACACAGGTCTAAGCCACATAGCTGGAGGAAAACCAACCATAGTAGAATGCTAAGGCCATTTAATGCAAAATGACTTCCAATCGAAATATAAATTAAATTTACTCTAAATACTTCTGCCTCCGTCCCATTTTATGTGTCTCCATTGACTTGGCATGATTATTAATAAAGTGGTTGAAAAAATAAAAGTTGTGGTTGAGGTTTGAGTATAATAAAGTGAAATGGTGTAGGCCACATATTTCTTTCCAAAAAAGGAAATGAGACACTTATTTTGGGACAACCCAAAAAGGAAAGTAGGACAGGTAAAATGGGATGGAGGGAGTAAAAAGTGAAAGTGACATTCGGAAACAGTCTCTCTATGCTTTAGTACAGGGGTAAGACTGCATACATCCGACCCCCTTACTACACTGTAGGTGGGAGCCTTTGCGGCACTGGGATAATGATGATGACGACGACTAAAAAGTAAAAGTGATATGTTGATGGACTCAGCAATCATAAACCAGAACTTTAGCACCTTAATAACTATTATAGAAAAGCATACCAAATCTGGGCGAGAATTGGTAGCTCCCAAAGCAGCATTTCGATTAGGCTGAGAATCAACATCCCAGATGAGAACCTGGTTCCACAAGTTTAAGAAGCCCATGAAATCGTGTCAAAAGATTAATGTTAATTACAAATACAAATAAAGAGAGCATACAATTGGCAAAAGGATTGTAAAAAATGGTTATGGAAGGCATCGAATCGAAGAAGACACTCACATCAGGACTGTCAGTGTGTGTTGCCACAATCTTACTATTTTGAGGCAACTCTCTAATTCGATTTACCTGCAATTATTCACAGAAATTTTGAATCAACTCTACGCAAAAGTAGGTATTCCGTTCCTAAATCTTAAGGCATCTTTCCAGTGTCCTACGATGTATAAAGGATGAACTTCATTGAGTTCTCATGTTTAAAGAGAGGTTAACTAAATTAGAATATCAAAACTCCACACCAAACACGAGAATGTGACAAGTAAAATAAATCAATATAAAGACTCTTTCAACTTTTTACCAATGAAAAAATGAACAGAATATATGCTATATTACAATCTGGTTTCTGTGATTGGAAACAAAATGGAATTCGCGCACCTCGCCGGGATGTATAATAGTCTTGTGCTTCTTTACAAATGGAGAGCGTGCTTCTTCATTGAACTGCAGCATGGGAACCAAATATGTAAAATAATAGGAATTAAAAAAATCAACCTATTATAGACAACAATATACCTGTGCAATGTGCTCAGCAGCCGCAACCCTGGGTTTTACGATTTCACAGTTTGCTATGACAAGTGTATTTGGAACACTACCATCAGTCTAGCATGGGGAAGCAAGTTCAGAAATAACCAAAGGTTAATTAGCAATTTATCACTAATAAACTGTAAGCTGAGATGGCACAACCAGGCTTCATCCAATAGCAACCCACCATGTAATTTCTCCACCTACCCATAACCAGAGGTAGGTAAACTTTTAAAAACCCACCCGGCGGGTGCGGCCGGGCCCTCACCACTTTTATAGTAATAATTATTTATACATATCAATAAAAATTAATTGCACAATTGATGACATTAAAATTTAATATCTATAATAACAAATTACAAAATAAAAGTATTCAAATGTAATTGAACAAAAGATTTATTCAATTCGTGTGAAAGTTATATATGAGTTATCTGTCAAAGTACCAAATATATTAATATTTTATCACTCAGCTAAAAAAATTAAATTTTAAGATGATTAGAAAATGAAATTTATTCAATGCTTAAAATGATAGGAAGAAATAGAAAACACATGCTTAAAATGTAATTGAACAAAAGATTATTCAATTCTTGTGAAAGTTATATACTAATACCTGTCGACGTACCAAATATATTATCACTCAACTAAAAAAATTAAATTTTAAGATGATTAGAGAATGCAATTTATTCAATGCTTAAAATAATAGGAAGAAATAGAACAACACACGAATGTGGTGAACCTATATTATCTTCATAATATATACATGCATAGCGATAATGTGTAACATTATAATTCCTTGTATATTTCATTTCAAAGAAGGAACTTTAAGTCATAGTACATCAGGTCAGTGATAACATGCTTTTACATAAAAGATCTGTGGCATGACTCAAAGTGGAGCGGTTTGATTTTTTTTAAACCACCCCCACCCACTAGCACTCAAAAACTCCGACGCACAGAGGGGGGTGTCAAGTTTGAGTGCAAGTATGTGTGTTTTGTGGAAGTGGGAGGAAAATGTCATCTGTGGTCCTAAAGAGTTTTCTCAAAATCAATCAAAACTCCAAGTGAACTATCAACCTTAATAAAAGTCTTAGAACACAATTCTTTGTGCGGGCATATTTAGTACTTCGGTAATTATGATTTGATTTCCATCATTTGCAATGGAGCCAAAGATTCATTATTTTTTGGCTTGAGATTATGATGGAATAAAGCAAAATGGCTCACTAAACTGTCTGCGTTTCTTTGTTATGGAGCAGCAGTCAGTCCATGCGATTTTGGACGCGATTTTCACTATGGGTCATCCGGAAATAGTCTCTCTGTGCTTTAGTACAGGGGTAAGATTGCGTACATCTTACCCCCCCTACCCCACCGTAGGTGGGAGCCTTTGCGGCACTGGGGTAAATGAAAATGAAAATGAGTAATTATGATTTGGCACCAGGGGAAAATACTCATCTAAAATATACAAAAAATTAATGGCGTTCATTAACTACCAAAAACAACCAAATGCAATCCATTATATTCTCGTATTCGTGTGCATAAAAAAGGAGCATGTGAATATCAAATAATAGACTTGCTTATATGCCTTCATAGCTCCCCCATTGACCAATAAACCACTATCACTTAGAGAAGATCATGTCGATCTACATTTCAGACCAACTAAGTTTGTCTCTTAATAGAACCACCTAGCACCCATTTTTTAAAAACAAAAAGGAATTTATCGAAATTAAAATATACCAGTAATAAATAAAGCTTGCATCTTGAAACTGTCAAACAAGCCGCACTGAAAAGCTAGTAACAGAATATAATCATTTAAACGGTTTCATAAGATCATCTTGCCTGCTCAGATAGGTAAAGCCGTTGACGATTCTTGTATGTTGCTTGCTCCACTTGTGGGCCCCACCTGATAGAAATGGCAGTGGCATTTGTTGTTAAGATCACAAAAAAATGTAAAAACTCCAATACGTCAGAAAATGGTGAAAGCTTCACTTCATGCTATTGCATTGATGTAACAGTACCAACCATCGAGACAAATAAATAAAACATAAGTACATAGCCTAGGCATATATGAATATATGATCTAAAAGCAAACTTGACCCCTTATTACTTGTTTATATTAAAAAAGAAAAGGGGTAAAAATTACAAATGACTAATCCATTATGTTTCTAGGAGCAAGCAGAAAGCTGATAACAACATGATCAAGCAAAATAAACAAAAAACGCCAACTTTCCAGTTAAATAAAAGCAGCATGAATATTGAAAATGGTAAACCCTAGGGTGAGTGAGAGGTGGATAAATGCCGGACCTGCAGGAGAGAGATGGCCACACAAGGTTGTGATTAGCTAGCCAATCGTAGAGAATGGGGACCAGAGACTTCCACTGAGTGTAACGCTCGTTCACGGACGGCTCACCGCCTTTTCCTTGTCTCTCCTTCATCCTCTGAGCGTATCTCAATCTGTCTCTCGGTAGAGCCTCTCTTTGAACCTCTCTCTGGCCCGCCTTCGCTTTTCCCGCCTTGGTCGGCTGCCAAGCACTTGCTCTGGAACTGATATAAGGTGCTGGACGTTTGCTGCTGTTGCCCAGGTTTTCCACTGTAATTTCATGATGTTTAAATGGGTTCGAAAATGCAGTAAAAGAGTAACCCCTACTAAATTCATTTCTATATATATTAGCCAAAATCTTACTACCTCCATTTTTAAAAAATATTAAGGGAGAACTATCAAATAAGCCTCCGAATTTTCGTAAAAAGTGCAAATAAGCTCTTTTATAGGAGTCTCTGTCTGACCGTCGATATTTGGTGCGATTTTCAGTGAATTGTTTTGATGAATTATTAAGACTAGGGAATCTTCGTTAAGTCTAGTTTACTCATACCAAATTTCAGATAAAAATTCAATCGGGAAGGTAGTCAAATGAATTTTTGAAGATAACTGTGCGGTTAGGCAGCACAATATATTTCAGAAAATCATTTGACTGCCTTCTCGATTGAATTTTTAGCTGAAATTTGGTATGAGTAAACTAGACTTAATGAAGAAGATGTTCAAAAAATTTCATCAAAAAATTCCACTGGAAACCGTCCCAAATGGCAACAGACGGACAAAGTCTCCTGTAAAAGAGCTTATTTGCACTTTTTATGAAAGTTCGAGGGCTTATTTGATAGCTCTCCCAAATATTAAGGAGAAAAGAATGAGAGGTGATAAAATATTATGAAAGGGATATCGGTAGTAAAAAAAATAGAAGAGAGTAAGGGATATAAGAAGTAGAAGAAAGTAAGGGAGTAAAGAATAACGTATAAAAAGTATGAGAGAATTTTAAAAAGAAAATTAACCAATAAAAAAATATGAACACTATTTGTTCTCTAACTAAGAAAAATTATTGTCATCCTTGACATCGACCCTCGTTTAGTCGAGAAGACTAAGTGACTAACAACAAGCAACCTAGTTCCTCTTCTCAAACATCTACCATAAATCAAGATGAGCAATGTTATAGAGTGTTCTCTCAATTGTGCAACCTTGGCCGAGACCAGATGGGCAGATTTTCACCAACCAGTCAAGTATGGACTTCCCATGTACATGTAAACGAGTATAACACGCATGCTCATTCATCACGAAACAAACATCATCAACATCACGAGTCATTCACAAATACGTTGTGGGGTCTGGTCCATAGAATAAGAGTACATTAAATGCACTCCTCATTTGTTCTACTATAAATATCCTACTTTAGATAGTTGAAGGGGTTCAAAAATAATTCATTACGAAACACCTTTTCTCTCTGCTACTTGGTTATATCTTCTCTCTAGAATGCCATTAGCTATTTACAGTATAAATATCAAGTCAATTTTATAGAAATCGAGCAAAACGCTAACAACATGTTCAAATAAAAATAAGCAACAATGCACCAAAGTTCAAGTTAAAAATGCAGCGTGAGTTTTGAAAGATATGAACTATAGAGTGATAGAGGGATAAATGACGGATCTTCACAAGAGAGGTGATCACGTAAGATTGTATTAATCGAGCAAGTAATAGACTACATGATTAGTGGGTTTGGAATTATCATAAAAGAGTTTGGACCCGAGAAATCCTATTTGTACATTAGCATCTTTTGAGAGGCAAACTCCTCTATGCTCAAAGACAAGATTTGTATGGATACACATGAAAAAATATTCTACTCCCAAACATGGTTTATATGTGTTATGCAAGTGATTACCTAAAATATAATTCATAACTAAAACCCTTCTTATTTGTATTGCAAATTCAATGTATATTCAGGTAGATCTTTTCTTCTTTGATTATATATCATCCTTCACAACTTTGGATTTCTCGTTTGACTCATTCGAGATTGTGTTACATTTTTTGAAGGATCATAAGCGTAAACAAGGGAAAAACACTTTTAAAACTAAAAGCATTAGGATGTAGATATAATGATGCAAAGTGGTGATTAGTTAGATTAGACACCAAGTACAGAGTACTAAATTGATAAAGGGTAAGAGGACTTGAAATATTTACTTCTTGTTTTGATGGATGATTCAAATGAACTGTGTATCCTTGGGTACTTTCTTTTTGAATGAGTTCTTCTGATTCTCCTTTTGCCTAAAAACTGAAACTCTAACAAAAAAATTGTATCTGCCACGCGAAAACTCCTCAAAGTTCTTAAAATGATAGAGTATTAGACAAAGCGTTGATAAAAAAGCAATACTCAGGAGAATATGGAAGAGCAAAATGGGTAAACAGAAGGCCGAATAAAGATATTACTATATTAAGGTTAATTGTATTAAATGCGTGAGACGACGTGAAATAGTCAATATGACAAGGCTATAAGCAGTCAATGAAAAATGTTACTCTTATGGTTATGAAGTTATTAATAAAAATATGACAAGTATGGTTGTGTGATCAGTCCGTATTTTGATACACATTTTATGTATGTTGCAATCATTTTAGACGCTCTTCTTTGATCAAATCGTATCACGTAAAGTTAAATTAGTGATAATCACATTTTACCAGCTTTGTCATTTATTTATTATTTTTAGTTGTTGATATGTAAATGAAATCCAGCATAGATAATTGTAGAAATGATGTAGAATCCAAGCATTTAAGCTACGCCAAAAGCAATCGTTGATAGTGTAGTGTGTTCTTTTCTCTTAATGGAGTAGAGAACCGATGTCACATGTCAATTTAGGAAATGCTAGTCAAATGTGTAGAGCACTTGTCAACAATCCCCATCATCTGCCACACTTGCTGGCACATCGTTTGGTCTGAGGTGGCACTTTGTCTATAAATATGGACTATGGAATGATAATTTAGACTAACAACAATGGATGAATATGTTGACAAAAGAGCGACATTTAAGGGCACCATATATATCACTCATTTGTCTCTGTGATAATATAATGGGAAATTTAATTTAAATACCTCAGACTTTGAAGGTGTGTGAAGTAAGTACCTCAAACTTGTATATGTAACGTATATACCCCGAACTTTATATAAAAAAGTTATTTTAGCACAATGACTATATTTTTTATCTTTCACATATGTAAATTTACGGTGTTAAGTACACAGTTTAAAATATTTTAGCATTCATGAGGATACTATTAACATTCTACATTTTAATTGTAAAATAAATAACATTACCAAGGCTTGTATAATAATATAGTTGCAACGATTTTAAATTTCTATTTGTCATCGCATGACTTTCAAAATTAATATATTTAATTGATTTCTACATTATTCACACGCTCTACTTTTTATTTATTTTACTCACTGATATATTAGACAATTTTCTTATATAAACATTATAAAATTGTCCTATATTAGAAATTTATAATGACTTCATCAAACTCTGCAATTTATATTAATACTCAATGTTAATAGTCAAAGTCGTGTATTGGCACATATCAAATTGTGTTGCAATTGAATTTCTAGATTGAGACAATATTAGTTATTTCACAACCAGAAGTTAAGAACATAAATTAAATGCACCCTCGTAAATGCTAAATATATTTAATTTGTTTATTCAACACCATAAATTTACATTTGTCAAATAAAATCATATGATCATGATGCTACTTAGCACCATATGATCAATTTTACGTAGTTTGTGAAAACCATGTTGCTAAATTTGAAATATTTATATTACAAATGTAAGTTTTAGGTGTTTATTTCAAAACCCTTCAAACTTTGGGATATTTTAATTATTTTCCCTTGTATAATTACTCTTTCGTTGTTGTCCTTGCCGGATACGCCCCAAAACTAGTTCCTTGTCTATGTTATATTGGTTTTCTTTTAATCTTATTGTCATCTCTTGTCTTCCTGAATTGATGTTTTGTCTATGTTAAACTTTAATTCATATAATTTTTACTTAATTAATAATTCGTTTTTCACCGCTTCACTTCCATTCGTAGAGAATGAGAACCATATACTTCCACAGAGTGTAATACTCATTCACGGACGACTCACCACCTTTTCCCTGTCCCTCCTTCATCCTCTTAGCGTATCTCAATATGTCTCTCGGTAACTCTCTTTGATCCTCTCTCTAGCCTGCTTCGCTTTTCCCGCCTTGGTCAGCTGCCAAACATGTACTTGCTCTGCAACTGATATAAGGTGTTTGTGATGTTGCCCAGATTTTCAATTGTAATTTCATGATGTTATAAATGGGGTCTAAAATGCCGTAAAAGTTCGGAAATACTAGATGTACACCAAATTAGTACACAACTTGTACCCAACCCCTTACCCACTAGTTGTTTGCGTACATAAAAAATTCATTTAAAAATGACAGGATTTTATGTCAAAATGGCAGTGTCCAACTTGTCTACACCAAGAATTACTCAAAAAAGTTACCTCCAAGTAATTCATTTCTATATTTGACAAAGTCTTACTACCTCCTATTTTTCTTAGCGCAATATTTGAGGAAAAAGTAACGCCATAAAGAATACCTTAAAATGTAGGAGAGGTGATAAAATATTATGAAGGAGATGTAAGAGGTAGAAAAAGTACAAGAGTAATGAATAACGTTGAAAAAGTATGAGATAGTGAAATAGTATTAAAGAAATGGTGAATTTGACTTGACACCCCATTTTTGGGTCATATTGGACTTTGCATCCCATTCTGAAATAACTTCAACTTTGCACCTCATTTCACTTAAAAATCATTTGACTTTGCACCATATTCAGAAATTTTCTTCCCAAAATGTTATATGATGGATTGCAAAGTCAAAGTTTTTTAAAACGAGGTGCAAAGTCCAATAGCACCCAAAAAATGGGATGCGAAATTAAACCCCCCCTTAAAGAAATTATGAAAAGAAAAAAGTAAGGTGGTAACGAATAAGTAAAAGTAATTGAGTATTTTAAAAAGAAAATCAACAAAAAAGAGAAAGTGTAGCAGACAAAAGAATATGAATGAGTATATTTTCTTTCTTTAAAAGTTTAGACCATTGTGATTTTTATTCAACCTTTTATCCTAACCCACATTATTTCTACAATTCTCTATCTCTATGTGTAGTTATACACATTGACAAAATTTTGACAAAGTCTTATGTAAAAGTATTCTCTAATTCTAAAATATCAATGTTGTGTTACTATTCTCTAACTAAAAGTGATTATTGTCACCCTCGATCTACACTCAT